TCTCTCTCTCTCTCTCTCTCTCTCTCTCTCTCTCTCTCTCTCTCTCTCTCTCTCTCTCACACACACACACACACACCCCACCCTGGTGCACTGATGCATTTCAGTAGGTCATTAACTTGCCCCCCTGAAGAGAAGCCGGGGCAGGCAGAGAAGCTAAATCTTACAGTGTCAGCAAAGCAGGAAAGTGGAGCACCTCAAGCAGAGGGCTGTCGCTGATGCTGTGGCACTGGAGGGATACTGAGGCAAGGAGAAGCAGGTGCCGAGGACACTTCCGAGGCAGTGTGTGTGTGCAGATTTTAATTCAGTGAACCTCTATTAAGTCCCTACTGTGTGCAATCCTGTGCTGAGCACAGAGAGTGACAACTGTCAGAGAAATTTAGAGCAATCTCTTCCCTTGTAGAGCTTGCAATCTAGAAAAAAGGAGTGGGAGATGTCATGGGATTTAGAGCTGAAAAAGACCTTAGATTGGGTCTAGTGGGAAGGGGGGAACCTTTGGCCTCGAGGCCACATGTGGCCCTCTAGGTCCTCAAGTGCGGCCCTTCGACTGAATCCAAACTTCACAGAACAAATCACAGGAAGAGTCAGGCATAACTGGAAAATGACCAAGCGGTAACACCACAGGTTGTTCTGTGAAGTTTGGATTCAGTCGAAGGACTGCACTTGAGGACCTAGATTCACTCAAAGGACCGCACTTGAGGATCTAGATTCAGTCAAAGGACCGCACTTGAGGACCTAGATTCAAAGGGCAGCACTTGAGGACCTAGAGGACCACATGTGGCCTCGAGGCCCCAGGTTCCCCACCCCTGGTCTAGTGCAATCTTCCTATTTCAAAATGGAAACTGAAGCCCAGATGTGGAAAGTGACTTGCCCAACGCTGGTGGCAGAGGTAAGATCAGAGCCCAAATCCAGCTCTTAAACGCTTTACCAAGATCCTGATGATACACAATAGCACATAACAAAGGTAGTCAAGGGACATCTCTTGCATAGTGGATAGAGAGCAGCCTTTGTTACCTTTGCTACCTCCTGACTATTGTTACCTGGGACAAGGGCCCTGGGCAGCTCTCTGAGACTCCAGATTGCTAAGATCTGCTCTGGTGAAGGAAGTTCATCACCAGGAACCCCCTGCACTGATAAATGAAATCACAAGTCTGGTCCAAAAATGAAAAGGGGAGGAGCATTGAAGGCGTTTGAATGGAGGGCTATGTGAGGTCTGAAGGGAAAGGCAGCAAGCCACAGGGAGATCAGGAAGGCTTCTGGAAGGAAGGGCATTGAAACGGCCCTTAAGGCTAGGCAGGCTTTCAACAGATGAAGATGTTCTCAGACCATTCCTCAGTGGAAGGTAACTTTCTTCCCTAAAGAAGTTTGGAAGGAGACCTAAAACTTCTTTTTGGTGTCCAGCATGTATTTGTCAAGTCAGAATAGAATCATCAGATCGTAGATGTAAAGAGGGAAGGGACCCCGGTCCTAGCCTCTTCCTGGACTGGAGATTTAGAGCTTAAAGGGACCACAAAAACCACCTATTCTAATTCCCTCATTTTACTGATAAGGAAACCCAGGCTAAGGAAGATTTGGCAATTTGCTCAGGGTCACACAGGCAGTAAACATCAAGGGTGGGATTTGAATTCAGGTTCTCAGCCCCTTAGAAGCCTTCTAGTCCAACCTACTCATTTTACAGGTAGGAAAACTGAGGCACAGAGAGATGATCTAGCCCAAGGAAGAGTTAGAGCAAGTGTTTGGAGGCCATGGTGGAGAGGGACAGCATTTGGTGAGAGTGAGTAAAGGGGAAAGGGGCTTAGAGGGAGAGTGGGTCTTGGGTCTCCTTCTTCTCTTGGGCTGTGCCTGTGGTCCATGGGGGAGCTCATGGACATTGCCCATCTGTAGTCCAAGCTCCAGTGCCCTCATACTGTGAGTTAGAGGAATGGGCCATGATGAAGCTCTGGTCAGAGCCAGCCTAACATTGCTTCCTGAGTGGTGCCATCTGAACTCAGTGCCAATTTACCTGAGAGAAAGTGGGGCTGGGGCTGGAAGTGACCATAGCACCAGGACAGAGTCAGGAAGCCCTCTCTGCCACCCCAGAAATCCTAGCTAGCCGAGAATAGTGGAAAGAACCCAGGACTGAAAGCCAAAAGACCCAGATATGAGTCCCAATCCTTCTCTTTGGTACCTGTGACCTTGGATAAATAACTTTTCACTGAGACTTAGTTTCCTCATTTGTAAAATGAGAGGGTTGGGTTAGATGACCTCTTATATCTTTTCTAGCTGTAGATGGATGATCCTATGAACCCCTCAGAGTATCAGCTTCCTTCATTATAAAGTGCCTGACTATTGGGATGAGTCAGTGAGATAAGGGAAGAGAAAGTCCTCTAAGAAATATGAGGGGAAAAGGAGAAGAATAAGAAAGCTATGGCATCTCTCCAATGAATATCAGATGAAAGCGAGATTGGATTTTCAGAAATTTCAGTTTACGGCCAACTTTTTCTTCTTTTTTAAAAATTATTTATTTATATTTAGCTTTCAACATTCACCTCCATAAGATTTTGAGTTTTAAATTTTCTCCCCTTTCCTCTCCTCTCCCCTCCCCAAGATGGCGTGTAATCTGATATAACAGCTAACTTTTTTAAGGTAAAAGTGGTATGATTGTGTAAATTGAGGCTAGCCCCACGGACTCAGCCTGGACTGGAGTGAGCCTCCAAGAGCACTCTGTCTCTGAGCACTTGCTGCCCTCTAGTGGTCACTGTAGACTTCTCACAAGATTGCAAGTCCATGTAGGTCATGATAGGAAATTAAATCAACAAGAAGACTTAGCACTCTTAGAGAATATGAGTACAAACTTCTCATTTTACGGATGGTGAAACTGAGTCAAAGAGAACAGAAAAATCTTGCCCGAGGTCATGCCTCATGTCAATGTCGATGACACAGAATCAGCACTGGAAGATTTATGCAGTCAGAGAACTCACATTGGAGTCCTAGCTTTGCCAATTATTTCCAATGTGACCTTAGACCAGTCACTTCCCTGCTCTCCTTTGTAAAACTAGGGGGTTGGGGGCAACTAGGTGGCACAGTGGATAGAACTGTGGTCTTGGAGTTAGGAGTACCTGAGTTCAAATCCGGCCTCAGACACTTGATACTTACTAGCTATGTGACCCTGGGTAAGTCACTTAACCCTGACTGCCTCACCAAAAAGCAAAAAAACCCTCAAACAAAAACTAGGGGATTGGACTGTAGCTCTAAAACCTATGAGCCTATGGTCTTGCCTTGAGCTGCAGAAGATGGGGCAAGATTCCACTTAGGAAAATGCTGGGGCCTTTCAATGACCCCATGTTTACTATTGCCAAAATTATCATGTTTTATGGCTTTCAAAAAATTCTGGGATGCCTTGATCTGGAGAGAATCTAAGTGACAAATACGCCAAAGGGCAATGGAAAGATCATGCTGCATATTCAGAGTGCCACATATACCTGTCCATACTGTAAGGTCAGAGATTTGTTTCAAGAATTTTGCCCGAGAATGTCATTAGAGAGATATGTGACCAGGAAAGAAGGTGGTCTGGTCATGAGCCAACGGACAACTCCATTGGTGTTCATGCAATGCCAAAAGACCTACAGAAGGGTTCCCATCCTATTGGGTAGATTCCCTTTGGAGGATCAGTGAGAGGATGTGGACAAGAAGAATGAGTTTCAGTCTGCCTCATTGGTATCGATGAGGTCACATCCATCAAAGCATCCATCAAAGTATTGAATTTGCATATATGCAATATCCTGCTATTAAACTCTAAGCTTAATGAGGTTCAGGATCATACTTGAGCTAAACTTTCTATCTCCCCCTGCACCTCATGGGGTGTTCTGCACAAAGAAGGCATATGTCAAATGTTTGCTGTGTGAGGAAAAAATTGAATTGGAGAAATAACAGGAAAGACATTACCAAGGCCTTGTATTTTGGAGAAAAGGCACGTATCAAGATTGAGAGACGCCAGATGGACTTTCCAAATGCTAAGCCCCTAAGATAGTAAGAGAACCAGAGAAAGCCTCCCACTTATTGGATGGATCCTTGATATTCTGGGGACAACATGGATGAAAGTAGCACAGAATGAGGAGGCATGGAGGGACCTCAGTCTGGGTTAGACAAGGGTCTGCCCACCCTGGAGAATCATGGAGGAGGTACCAATGGAAGTATTTTTGTGCATGTAATATTCTTCTCTCCCCAAGATTGGGAACTCCCTGGAGATGGGGTTGGAATTCATTCTTCCCACACTTTCTCCAAGTTGTGTGTGGGCTCCCTGGGGGCAGGACTCAGGTCTATGCCTGCCCTGCCTCCTCCCATTTTACCCCAGTTCCCTAAAAGCAGGTCCTGAGTCGTATCCATTTCTGTATTCCTCTGCAATGCCTAGACCAGGGACCCCATATAGGAGGTGCTCAGAAAATGTTTGTTTATCCTTGGTACAACGAAAAGGGCCCCAGAGTGGGAGTCCATTAGTGGTTCTGCCACTAATTTGCTAAGTGGCCTTCCTCTTTCTGGGCCTCAGTTTGCTGCTTTGTAAAATAAAGGGGTTGGAATAGATGACCTCTAAGGCCAGCTAGGTGGTGCAGTGGGTCGAATGCCAGGCCTAGAGTCAAGAAGGTATGAGTTCCTTGGAATTCAGAATTCTTCCAAAGTTGATCTTTGCATCATTTTTGCAGTCATCGTGTAAACCGCTCTCTTGAATGTACTGCTCGTTTCACTCTGCATCAGTTCAATTTTTTTTTTCTTCTTTAAGGTTTTATAGCTTGAAATTGGATGGAGACTTTTGGAATATCATGTATATATATGTATCTATGTGTTACACATTTGTTTTTCTTTTTAAACGTGTATATAACACTTCACACTTTCTTATATAATCTTCTTTCTTGTTCATCTGTACTGAAATGTATGTTTGTTGCTAATTGTTATGTGCAAAATAAAAAATATTTTTAAGTCCTAAAAAAAAAGAAGATCGTTCAAATCAGGCCTCTGATAGTTACTAGCCATGTGGTCTGGACAAATTACTGTGTCCTCAATTAAAAAAAAAATGGAGATCATAGCACCTACCTCCCAGGGTTGCTCTGGGAATCAAATGAGATAATACTTATAAAGCACTTAACACAGTGCCTGGCACATAGTAAGTGCTTTAAAAAATACCTGTTCAAGGGGCAGCTAGGTGGCACAGTGGATAGAGCACCAGCCCTGAAGTCAGGAGGACCTGAGTTCAAATCCGGCCTCAGACCAAACACTTGACACTTACTAGCTGTGTGACCCTGGGCAAGTCACTTAACCCCAATTGCCAAAAAAACAAAAAAAAAACCTGTTCCCTCCTTCCCACCCAACTCTAACAGAATCTAGAGCTAGTGAATCATAAATATACACAGAGGCACACTTACCTATAGATTCAAATATCTAGGTACCCCAAGACATAGTCAATATAGACGTACAATGACATCATAGATGCCATCACACACAATCATGTATGTACAGGCACAACAAACACTCCTTCCACTCTGGCTCATGGCCATTCTCTCACAGGGCCTCCTGCCCCTTCACCCAAGGAGTCCCAGGGTCTGGTGTCCTGGGACATTTCTCTTCACCCCCAAGCAAGGAGTCCAAGAGCAAGGTGTCCAAGCACATGTCCCACAATCACCTTGGAGGGGTGGGGAAGGCTCTGTCTGCTACCACTTTGGGAAGTGCAAGATGTAGGATAGGGGGTATAGACTCCTCACTGGGCGTCCTCAGCCCTGGTTGTCTCTGAGTCCATTTTGTGGTAGATGGGGAGGGGGATGGTCATTGTTCAAGCATTGTTCTTTCCTGTCCTTTCTGTCTCTGCAAGGTTCCAGGGAGAGTTCTGGGGGTGGTCTAGAGAGGGGATCGGAGCTAACCTCCAGGTTCGAGGTTATTTCAGGCTTCTCCTAACAAATGAATGAAAAAAGCATTTATTACGCACTCACTATGTACAAAGCATTGTGCTAAGGGCTCAGGACACACATAGAAAAGACAATCCCTTCGTCAATGTCAGTGGCGGGGAGGCTTCTCTCTCTGGGATTGAGAAGGAAGATGCTTTAACTCCCTTGGCCCCCAGATTGGAGGTAAGGGGGGAAAGCACAGAGTCAGCTTGTCAGGGATTGGGGACAGGGCCACTGCCTGATTATGACTGCGGAAGGAGGGGGACAGGGGCTCTCCTGAGCCGGATTCACCTGTCCTTGGCCCTGATTGGTTCCCAGGCAGCCCCTTTGCCCCTAAATCCCACTAAGTAGTCCTCCACTGGAGGGAGGTATGGAAGGGCCCCGCTCACTCTATCTTCGAACTTCCTGGGACCAAGAGGGTATCAGGGAAGAGGGCCAGGGGCCCCGGGCTAAGCCCGAGGTTTGAAGGTCCCGTCTCCTCAGAAGAGTTTGGTCCACATTTTCCACCCTTCAGCCCACCCACTTCCCCCAGCCCTGCCAAGAAGATGGGGGCTGGAGCCAGTGCTGAGGCGAAGCACTCAAGGGAACTGGAAAAGAAACTGAAGGAAGATGCAGAGAAAGATGCCAGGACAGTGAAGCTGCTTCTGCTGGGTAAGTGGAGGGGCCCTGGGGTGGAGATCCTCAACAGATCTGGGGAGGTGGGAAAATGGACAGGCCCTTCCAGGCCTCCCAGATGACAAGGAGGAAATGGGTGAATTCCATTGCAAGGAAATCATACATTGTCAATGAAAGGAAATCTGGGCAAAGGGATGCTGCCCCCCTCCTGATAGGCTGGGCAGAGATTCCAGAGGTCCCCTCCTGTTATGGGATTGGTGAACACCCAAACAGCTTGGTGACAACTGAACCTCATTCTAAACATTGCGTATGGGAGTTCTGAAGGACTCTTTCTGGACCCTTTGGTAAAATGAATAGTAGCCTCTAACCAGAGAAATTTTTGTAAAGGGAATAATCACCCCCCCCACCCCACCCCCAGCCTACCTGAGAACATTTTGCAAAGAAAATAATTACCCTTTAATTAAGAAAATAATTACTCTCACCTTATCTGGTGTCTAGACCGCCTCTGCCGTAAGATTATGGATGTAGCAGGCACCCCCAAATGTTCACTGGATAAATCAACAAATGACTAGATGGAGAAAGCAGAGGTACACCTTTAATCTAATCATGGCCCCCATCATCCCTAGCCCTTCTCCCAAAGGTTGGATATTTTCTCTAGGATTGCTGAAGGTCCAAGGGCTCTGCTTGAGGCCATTTCCAGCCTCCTAAAAAGGTATATAAATCACAGAGACCAGGATGAGAGTACCAACTCAATCACTAATAGGCTGTGGGATACCCGGCAGCTCCTTTTCCCTCTATGACCTCATTTTCTTCCTCAGCACAATGAGAAGGGACAGACTAGATCATGTCTAAATCAACAAATACGAATTAAGCCCTTAGTATATGGAAAATGAAGGGGACAGTAGTTTGTGGTGAATGCGCTAGACTTGGTTGGCATCAGGAATAATGGGGTTCAAATCTCCCCTCTTGTATTTTCCAGCTATGCGACCATGGGAAAGTCAGTTAACCTCTCGAATAATTTAGAGATAAGTTTCATCTACCGAGGTTCCCACAGGAACAAAAGCCCAGATCCTAGAGACAATATATATGTAACATACTGACGTTCTAAGGTTCCTTCTAGCTTTGAACCTCAATGTAAATCAGGTTTATAATTCAGGAATACCAAGGCACCATACATGTATGGATGCTTCAGTGTACGAAGCATGGTCAGATTGCTTAGTCCTTTGAGGCTCTTTCTGCCCAAGGTGGGACTTGGGGCAGGGATTATCGTCCCCATTTTATAATTTAAGAACACCAAGGAACCATACACGTATGGACGCTTCAGCGAACGAAGCACGTTCAGATTGCTTACTCCCTTGAGGCTCGTTTCTGCCCAAGGTGATTATCATCCCCATTTTATAGATGAGGAAATCCTGAGAATCACAGCATGTCGGAGCCAAAAGACATTTTAAAGACTTTCCAATCCAACTTCTTAATTTTACATAAAAGGCTAGTGAGGCACAGAGAGATGAACTGAACTGCTAGAGGTCACACATTGAGTGCACATTGAGTACAAAGCCAAGTCTGAAAACCTGACGGTTTTCTGGTGTATCCCTTTTTTGTATCTATAAACAAGCAATCTGATTTGTAAACAATTAAATGTGCCACTGGGATACCACTCTGTAAAGACAGAGCTGTTGGGGGAGTTCTTTTGTAAAGTGAAGAATTCTTCTGTAATAAGAATAAAAGTCAGCTCACTCTAAGCAAATTCCATCTACATGATCCAGGGCAGCTAGGTAGTGCAGTGGATAGAGTACTGAGCTCTATCTCGGCTTTCTCTCATCTTCCTGAGTTCAAATCCGTCTTCAGACACTTACTAGCTGTGTGACCCTAAGCAAGTCACTTAACCCCTTTTGCCTCAGTTTCCTCATAAATGAGCTGGAGTATCTTTGCCAAGAAAAACTCAAATGGGGTCAACAAGAATTGGACGTAACTGAACAATAAACAACAAATCCAGTTACCAAACAGATACATCAGAGGTAGCCACGGCCTTAGAGAAAGACCTACCAGGGTGGATAGAGCACTGGGTTTGGGGTCAGAGCTGCTGTGTTCCTGTCCCTGGTCTCCGTGTGACCTTGGGCCAGTCACTTCCCTTCCCTCAAGCTCAGTAACATAAGGAGGCTGGACTAGATGACCTCCAGGGTCCCTTGCAGCTCTAAGCTCCTATGAGCCTCAGATCTTTATTTCACTGTGGTCCCTACAGGACTCTTCAGCTAGCCCAACTCCCCAAGGACATTTAAAATGCATTGGGTATTAAGTTACAAAGGTTTGGCTCTCTCACACACACATTCCCAAAGCATGTTTGTTGTATTGTTTCATGGGTCACCAGGGCCAGAGAATTCATCCCTCTGTGGCCAGACTGCCCATATCAGCCTCTCCCTTCTTAGCAGGGCTGGTCTTGCGACAGCAAGCTCTGTCTGTCATTTGGTGGTCCTGTCCACCCTGGTAGAAACTGGCATAGAGCCTTCTTTCCTCTGGCATAGCCCCTGGGATCCCAAGGTCATCTCAGTGCCACAAGGACATTGCTCTGCTGGGCGGAATACCCACAGATGGGAATCAAGGGAGGTTGGCTAAAATATCCCTGTTTAGTACAATGGAATTTTGGATTAATAATAACAACAATATCTTTAAGGTTTGCAAAGCAATTTTAATAATAATAATAATAGCTAACATTTGTGTAGCAATTACTATGTGCCAGCAACTGTGGTAAGTGCTTTGCAATTATTATCTCATTTGATTCTCACGGCAATACTGTGAGGTGAGTGCTTTTATTATCCTCATTTTACAGATAAGGAAACTGAGGCAAACAAAGGTTAAGTGACTTGCTCAGGATCACACAGCTAGTATGTGTCTGAGTTAAGATTCAAACTCAGTTCTTCCTGACTCCAAGTCCAACACTCTAGCCACAGAATCACTTAGCTGCCTCTCTCTAGGTGAATAAAATGGAATCTCAACTTCTCCCCAAGGTGGTAGCAGAAAATACTCTGAGGGGCAAAGGGGAGTTTCTAGGATAGGAGGCTAAACCCACTGATCCCATTAACTCTGCCCTAATTCTCCTGCCCATCCCATGCCCTTCCAAAACCCCAATACACATAAAACAACGCTGGGCTGGAATAGAGGCCCTGGTCACTGATGGCTCTACTCAATGTCCAGACTTCACTCCGCCTCTCCAGTATTCTCCTGTTAGAATGTAAGGGTAGGGGCAGCTAGGTGTACAGTGGATAGAGTACCAACCCTGAAGTCAGGAGGACCTGAGTTCAAATCCAGCCTCAGAAATATACTAGCTGTGTGAACCCTAGGCAAGTTACTTAACCTTGCTTCCCACCAAAAAAAAGAAAAAGAACCTAAAGGTAGAGATTTTTTCACTTGTATTTTTATCTCCTGGGGTTAGTATCCTATCTGACACACACTAAAAGCTTAATAAATGGTCTATCTACATAGCTATCTTTCTTTTCTTTATCTCTCCTTCCTTCATCTCTTTCTTTCTTTCTCTTTCTTTCTTTCTTTAGCTTTCTCTCTCTCTCTCTCTCTCTCTCTCTCTCTCTCTCTCTCTCTCTCTCTCTCTCTTCTCTAATCCCTGTTTTTCTCCTCTCCCTGCCCCTCATGTCCCCAGTCTACCCCGATCCCAAGGCCCAGCCCAGAAAGAAGTTAATTCCTTCTTAGCCTCTCAGGGTGATCCCTGGCTGGACATCCCACCTCACCCTTGGGCGCCTGACCCAGTGGGGTGAGTTGGGGGAGCACCAGGTCCTACTCACCTTCCCTGGGAGGGGAGGGCTGGTGTCCTGGATACCCTTCCCTTGGGGATGGAATAGTCCTTGGGTTCCTTGACCCTGCCATGGTCCTCTTGGAGACAGTTCAACTGACCTGGGGGACAGCCTTTGTCCCGATCCTTTTCTCAATTGTGTTTTTGAGTCCACTCAGCCCATCCACTTACTCATAGGTCTTTATTCACTCAAGGAGCGCTTCCTGAGTGCAGGGCACTGGGGGTGTTATCAAACACAGGTAACACAGTCTCATAGAAGGCATGCCCTCGGGTAGTTCACAGTAGATTTGTGTTTCTGTCTCTAGGGGCTGGTGAATCTGGAAAAAGCACCATCGTTAAACAGATGAAGTGAGTGTTTCTCCTCATATACTTTCCCTTCTGCCCCCACCTCCGGAGCACCACCTTCTAAGAAAGGCCTGGATTGTAAATTGGAAGACCTCATATATGCTGGTTCTGTGCACACATGCACAGACACGTACACGCCCTGCTTCCCACAACCACCAGAGCCTCAGTGCCATTGTCCTGCCCCCAGAGACCTCCATAATGGGCATGACTCCAATCTGTTGCTGATCCTATTCTTTCTCGGCTGTCCCCAGAATTATCCATCAAGACGGTTACTCCCTGGAGGAGTGCCTGGAGTTTATTGCCATCATTTATGGCAACACGCTGCAGTCTATTCTGGCCATTGTCCGGGCTATGACAACCCTCAACATCCAGTACGGAGACTCAGCCAGACAAGTAAGGCTCAGGTTTAGCAGGCATGGGGTAGGAGCAAAACAGAGTTACTAATGGAGGGTACAGACTGGGAGCCTCGGACATAGCTGGTAGAATCACTGAGTTTCAGGTTTAGAAGGGGCCATAGGGGTCATTGAGTCCAACCTCTCATTTTCCAAAGGGAAAACTGAGCTCCACATTGGGGACTCAAGCCCAGTTCTTCATCCAAGTCTAGTCCTCTTTTTACTTTGCCAAATATGGGGGAGCCCTGAGCCCTGAGTACTCAAAAAGGTGTCCAGCAGGGACACTTGGACCACTAGGTAGGACCTGGATCACTGAGGATGGGGATGGAGGGGCATTAAATGCACTTGTGGGGATGCAGAGACCTCTGGTCTGGGTCACCCAGATGGATCAGGGAGGTTCAGAAGGGTATTGCTAGGACCGTAAGTCAGATAAGAGCCGCAGAAGGAATACAGTTGATTTACTCAGAGTATGGGGACTGGGATACCTGGAAGGGTGAAGGGAGGCAGAGATACCTGGGACAGGTCACTTAAGGTGAAGATGGGTCTGGGAGCCTTGGGACCTAGAGTCCTGGGGCTAGGTCATTCAGAAAAGGGAAGGGCACGAAAAGAATCATTGGGATAGACAAGTCAGGTCTAGGAGGACTACAGTCAATAACATCAGGGAGATAATTGCTATTATTAACTCCCTTTCCCCACCTCTAATCCCTGCCCCAGCCTCTACCACCCACCCTCTACCCTCATGCTTTGATTTTCATTCCCTCCTTCCCTGTCTCCCCCAACTTCCACCCCAGAGAGCTCTGACCATGACCTTAACTACCCCCAGGATGATGCAAGGAAGCTAATGCATATGGCAGACACCATTGAGGAGGGCACAATGCCCAAGGAGATGTCTGACATCATTCAACGGCTGTGGAAGGACTCCGGCATCCAGGCCTGCTTTGACAGAGCCTCTGAATACCAGCTCAACGACTCTGCAGGATAGTGAGTTCCCAGGCACCCCAGGGACCAGCTGTGGGGGGCAGAGAGACTAGGGCTCCCCATAGACAGAAGGTTGGCACAGGTCTGGAACCCAAGGCCTCAGGGTCTAGCTGCTGCTTCAAACCAATTCAAACAGCAGCTTTACCGATGGTGCCTTCCCTCTAAGATTACATTTCACTTACACAGTTATATCTTGTGTGGGTAGATAGACAGACAGACAGACAGATAAATAGATAGATAGACAGACAGATAGATAGATAGATAGATAGATAGATAGATAGATAGATAGATAGA